AGTGTTTAGAATATTTAATTTAATCTAAAGAACCTTTTCCCATTATAAAGAACCTGGAAAGGTTCCATGGATGTAAACGGTTCCTCGTGGAACCACTGATTCCAATAAAGAACCTTTATTTTTTGAGAGTGAACAGATTGCAGAGGCAAGTGCACAAGGAACTCACAGTGACTTCGGTTGTCAGGGGACCAAAACAAACCTCGCGGAGGTACAAACACATCCAGAAATCCAGTGCAATACGAGCCAACATGAATCATCAATGCTGGAAAAAGGACAGGGAACATTCCAGCGCTTCCCACTCATCTGTACAGATCACATGTCAAACGGCTCTAACTATAAGCTGACGGACGCTCCCGTGCCCAAACCGAGGCCTCGTTCTTCAGACAAACGTGCATCTGACAGCAAGCTCACGTTAGTCTCATCCAGACTGCTGGAAAAGAAAAGGAACGAGCAGGATCCAGAGAGGAGCAAAGATGTGCACGAAAAAGAGATGAAGAGTGGGTGGAAAAAGGCTAGTGGAAGAATGAGAAACAGTGGCACTCACAGCTCTGTTCATGTCAGCAGGGAAATCTGGGATCCTTGCAAACGGCAGGCAGCCGACGCGGCTCGGGGAAGAAGCGCATGGAGTCCCGGATCATGCCTTGATTACAAAAACGCCAGTTGGGCTGCGAGCCAAGATCTCCGAACGCAAAGAAAAGCCCTGCTAACGGACCCCGCCGCTCACCCGTACGGCTCAGCCTCTCTCTCTCTCTCTAAAGCTCTTGCTCATAGTTAAAATTACCCCTCACTACCCCACCCATGTCTGCTGTCATAGCCCTGAAAACCATTCATTTTATGACTCTCAATATGGGAGCTTTATAATAACAGTGAAATTTAGAAATCAATACATTTAAGAGTGTTGAACTAGAAACACTCTTTCACACTCTCACTAGTCGATTTAAAGAAATGGTTCAAATAATTTTTTTAATTTTTTTATTTACTCTCACTAGTCGATTTAAAGTAACACCAGGTAACTTTTCAACCTTCATAATATATTTCCAAGTCTCTTGTGATGGTACATCGACTTACAATCGGTTGAATGACACGTCTGCCATAGCCTGACGGGGTCTGTAGCGTTTTTAATCGTACTTTTAAACTTCGGGTTTCGGGTAGTAACCGGCGAACAAAGAGAACTACAAAATTCGACTTCTTTACGGCATATACGTCACTTCCATCACCACCCCCACTTCCTTAAAATCGGACGTGCGAGCCAAATGTTATAGTCATGGCCGAAGCAGCACAGAAAAACAAGAAAGCAAAGGTTTTATCGGAGCAAAGCAAAAAGAGAAAAAGAGAAAGTGATCGCGTTAAAGGCAGAACGAGGATCAACATTGGGCCAGCATTTTCTCGCTGGCGTGAGCTGGAGGAGGAGGAGGAGGGGTGCCCGACCGATGCGGACTTGGCAAAAAAAAAAAATCAAAAAATCAAATGAAAGCCTGTATCTAAACGGCGTGTACAAGTTTGGTAGGGGCTACATTCTTGCAAGTAAATATATAAGATGTACAAAATCATATTTTAGGATACCACATGTCTGTGATATTTGTTTATTTGTCTTGCCTCAAGCTATAATGCAAATCGATTTGTAAAATTTGCAGATTCATTTATGGTAGCTTGATATTATAATATTGACGATATATGGTTATTATCTACCACTCAAACATTGCATTGAAGTATCATATAGATCCAGTAAAACGGTAACCAATAGACTAGGCTACTATAATGACGCTGGCTTGTAAACGTGATCATCGCGATCATTTGTCGTTAGAAAAAAATAAAACTAGGGATGAGTCGCGATCTTCGAATAGTCGAATAGTCGAACTGCGTTCGAAATTCGATCGTAAAATTGCTTATTCGAATATCGTTATATTTTTGCGCAATTCCAATGTGACATAATTGACGGCGCGCCTACTGTCACAGATCGCGCAGCAGGGTATTTTCCTGTCGGGGACGCAAGGTGCCACTAACATGAAACCCCCTCCTGCGCGATCTAGGATACCAGCGTTTTATACATAGTGTAAACAAACAACAGAAGAAGAGCATTGTCATGACCGTTAACTCTGCGCCCAACAGAGGTGGGTAGTAGTAGACTAACCTTTACTGTCTATGGTAGTAACCGTCTATGGTAGTAACAAAGTAGGCTACATTTACTTCACTACGTTGGGCGACGTTCCTCTCGTTACTTTATTTTAATGCAATACATGTTGTTAAATGCGTAGTTTATTCCAAGCGCGCTGTGTCTTTTTTATGGGCATGAGCGATGCTCCATTCACAAATGAATCACTCTTTTGAGTCGATTCTGTTCAAAGACTTCATCAAACAAGTTGGCAGATCTGTCTAAATCGGTTCGCGAATCAGTTTGAATGAGCTGTTCAGTTCCTCGCGCACTGAATCGTCTGAAGCGCTTTAATTCACACTCGACACGGAGTCGTAGCAGGAAGATTTAAGAACATCAAGAGCGTTGGATGAAGTGGCCGTGGACCTACAGTACAGTCTAGTGAAAGCAAATCTGCAAATGCATCATATTTTTGCCAGCGATGAAGATCTAGTAGTTGAACATCTTCGTATGATGTCTGTGAATGAATGATTCCACAGGACGATACATTCTAGTTCATTTCATTCAACTCGACGATAGCACTACAAGTATGATGACATTATCAGTTTTTTGGACATATACATTCATTTATAGGCTACATTAAATAAGCTACCATTGTCCACAGTTTATGAAATGAACACCCGCCATCCCGCGGTAATGTGTGTGTATTGCGCAGTGGCATCACACGAATAGTTTTGATTGAAACTAATTTGTTTAAAAAGTAGGCTTTTGCAGTAACAAGGCAGGTTTGCATAAAATCATTATGACATTATTTTTTTTAATCTAACGAGCATCTGGTTTGGCGATGCAAAAATGGACTGTCGTGGCGTCGTGCTTATTGTTTTTTTTCTTCTGTTAACTACGGTATGTTAAAAAAAAACGACGAAAACATGTTAATTGTTCGAATAATAAACAGCTTGTTTGATGACAAATCGCTAAAGATGAAATTGGCCTCCCTTTCTGTCATTGTGAGTGTGCGTTTTTTTTTTTTTTTTTTATGATAATCGACTTTTGCTCCTCGATTTTCGAATGTCATTTTTGGCAGAAATTCACATCCCTAAATAAAACCCATGAAATTATATTCATATGACATGCTGAAATATATGCCACTGTACCTGGGATGAAGACATTTCACACACGACGCAAGCAGAACACCTGCATGTGACCTCCTCCTACAGTGTTCAGGGCTATCATGGTTGTCAACAATTGCACGTAGGATGACAGAGTTTACGACAGTAGTAGAGGTCTAGAGGACAATACTGTTTCCCAACTGTAGGGGGACCCCACCCCGAGAGCAAAAGTAACCTGGTGTTACTTTAAAGAAATGGTTCAAATTATTTATTTTTTTCATTTACTCACTCATGTTGTTTCAAAACCATTGCACAGGGTTGATGAAGTTAATAATGAATGAAATCATAAAAATGCAACCTGGTTCAGTGAGTCATCAGGTCGACTGATTCATTAAAACGATCCGGCTCATAAGAGTAAGTTATTTGGTTGGTTTCATCTCATTTAAAATTAAACATTAATTCCAATGCATAACGATCACTGACATAGAGATGAACTACTTAAATCCATCAATTATGTTGTGGGTTGTTAACAGGTCGTTGCTAAGCAGTTGCTAGGGTGGCTGCTTACTGAAAAGTAATTATCTCATTTGGTGACCCATGTGGCATAGAAATTACACACTTCACCTCAAAATTTGACAACAGCACATGCTTCCGAGAGGTGCATTTGCATGCCTGCTTCTGAAATTCACATAAAACAAAAGATCTGTGGTTGGTTACTTTGCATGCAAATTAGATATGCAAATCTGATCTGAAGACACGCCTCTTCCTCAAGTACCACCATAAACAAACTCTTATTCTCTTCTGCTCTAATCTAACTTGTATTTTAAACTTGATATTATGTCCTGCAAAAATTATTATCTCTTATAAATATTTGCTTGTGATTTTCCTCACCTATAAATCAAAATCTTTTGCTAAATAAATAAAAGCAAGTGCATAAAATAAATCAGACGGTCTCCTCCTGTTTAAGTGGGCTTTAAAGTCACCATGAAATCAAATGGACAATTCTTGTTTTTTTATGGAATATTACAGTGTATTTTATAAATTATTTATCAGTGCACATCATATGCCTGGGAATCTTGAATTAGAATAACTTCCTCTTCTCTTCTCTGATGACGAGGGCGGGGCAACCTGTCACTCACATGAGATCCACCAATAGCAAACCACAACCATCCAATCAATTCCCCACCGACAAAATCAAGCCCCGCCCACATATGTTCTAGTTCCAGAAGTGTTTCACTCGGATATACGGCACAATAGAGAAGAAAAAAGCGGTAACACTTTACAATAAGGTTCATTAGTTAACTACTTTAGTTAGCATGGACTAATAATGAACTGCACATATGAATATTATTTAACATTAATTTCAACATTTACTAATACTTGATTAAAATCTTGTTAACATTAGTTAATACACTGTGAACTAACATGAACATACGGAGCCTCTAAAGGGACGTGGTGGTGGTGGAATTTTTTTTAGGATGGGAGTTTTTTTTTTTTTTCAATCTTTTGCGTTCCCTCGCAAAACTTTTGCGTTCCCCCGAGAACGCAAATAACTTTGCGAGGGAACGCAAACATTTTGCAATAAATATAATAACAAATGTATTGCTCATGGTTAGTTCATGTTAGTTAATACATGAACCTTATTGTAATGAACCTAATTGTAAAGTGTCATAAAAAAAAAAACTAGTGCAACTTTAACTTTAAATGAAGCAAGCAATACTAATCAAGTCTGGTTACATGAATCAAGATGACTTCACAATCTCGATCTGAACACAACAAAAAGTGTTTCAGACACTCACATGAGTCTTGTCCTCCAGCTGATAGTGTTCGTCCTCACAGAAGTCCTTGAACATGACGAGATGCTCCTGGTGTTGCATGATGGTTCCTCAGGCTCGGTGTTTCTCCGCTGTAAGAAACAATGACAATTTATGTGGATATAGAGACAATTGTTGCATATATTCAAAAGATCCAAAAACAAACTTGATTACTGTCAGAATACATAAAGAACAGTATTTTTTTTGTACATGGAAATTCCATAGTTTTTGAAATACAGTACATATTAATATTATTATAAATGGGTCATTCCTGGGATTAGGTAATATTTCAACTTGTATTTTTGAATTATAATATTATAAATAATTCATTTTCTAAATACCCCACATCATTATCCACATATCAAACCTCCAAAACATTTTTTAAAAAAAAAATATTTTCTCCACTTCAGGCATTAAAGACATTTTATCCTTTTATGTATTATTTTTCACAAGAAATCAACACAAATAAATACTTACAATACTGCAAAAAAGATTATATACAGAACTGAATTTGTACGTAGAAAATAGTGCCTCAGGGACATGACAAAATGCTTTTAGTGTACAATAGAAATAAGACATTATTATTTTATGATAAAAAAGTATTTAAATGTGATCCTTTTTTTAAAATTCCTTTTATTCATTTATGCTTCAGACATTAAAAGAGAGAAATTATGATCAAATGAGGTAAAATAATCAAATAAACCAGTATTCAGGGTGGATGTGGAACCGCTTACCTGCCAACTAGGTATAAAACAGTTACGTTCATGATTAACGTTACATACCATGTAACGTTATTGTGAAAAGCTTTTAATATTTAATTTTGGTGAACCACCACTTTAAAAAGTCTGGGGGACTGAAATATTACCGAATCCCAGGAATGACCCAAATATGAAAATATCCAAATACCATGTAACGTTAATACCGCCATATTATCATGTAAAGCAACGTTAGCAGGTAACGGTGGTGGGCTGGTTTGTCCTCGGAAAGGTCCTCAAAGTTAAGAACAAACGTTCTTCCAGTTAATAAAACGTCCATTCAAAGTTATCTGCTCTTTATTATTGTTCTCAAAACGTTAGCACAAAAACATTATTTATAACGTTACATCTTTCATGAAACGTTTTTCTGAAACATTTCATTTGGACGTTAGAATGTTTTTAAACGTGAAGTCCTGCTTTCTACTTTCTTTCAGATGGTTCAAATAGTTCCCACATTACTTGTAAAACGATCAAACATTCGCATAACCAAGAAAAAAAAGTTTAGAAAAACTAAACGTTTTGAATGTTCAAAGAACATTCCGGTCTAACTTTTTCATAACGGTTATAAAACGTTTTTAGAACATTTTATTGTTAGCTGGGTAGACTAGCAATCAATTAAAATAGTATAAAACAGCACTAAACCATCAACAATAAGTTGTTTAAGACAAACATATTGTTATGTATACCTCATAAACATTACATGAACTAACGTTAACTTACATCTGAGATGGAATTGTAACGTTAAATCACAGATTTGACAAGTCAAAAACGCGTTCAGCATTTTTTAAGTTGCATTTTTATAACACTTCAGACATCAAAAGAGAAAAATTATTATCAAAAGGGGTAAAATAATCAGATAAACCAGTATTCAGGGTGGATGTGGAACCGCTTACCTGCCAACTAGGTATAAAACACAAGTTAAGTTCATGATTAGCAGTTTGAACTGAGGCCTGACTGAGTGACGTCACTGGCTGCACGCTTCAGATCTGGCGCCACCTGCTGCTCAGTGACGAAAGTTCGAAACCACGTGATCTGAGCTACTACGCACTTTCATAGCTGTGCCCTTCATTTTATTTATGACAACTGTTGACTCATTTGAGTCTATTTTTATTTCTCTCAAGGAATTTTAGCATTTGATCATTAAGTCTCTGGGCAATAGACATTCTTGACAATATATATAGGCTACTAAACAGTGCAACGAGAGAATAAACAGTGTCCAAAACCAGGAATTGGGTCAAAGTGCACGTCTATAATAAAAGCGACGCTGCATGAAACTATTAAACGAGTGTTTTATCAACTGTATAGATGGTCTAGTTCAAGATATAGGTATAGAATGTCAGTGAAACGTGTTATATTCATAAATATCAAATAAATATCCCAAAACATGCAGTCTGTGTTTTAGAAGGCACACCTGAAACACCAAACCACACCTGTTGCTCGAGGGGAAACAAACCAGTGTTTTACTACATGACCGCCCCACACTACGGCTGTGTGTGCAGACCATTAAAAAAGAGATTCAGGTGTCACTGTGGCTTCATGTTACACACTCAAATAGCTCTGCTCTTTGAGCATATTTATGTGTGACTTCTCATAAAGCCAAAATGCAAAGCACACATATCTCACTCACCCCCAAACTACATTTATAAGATAATTAAAGTGATACATTCAGCATTAAACACTACACTGTTTGTTACCTTACGCCTTTCAAACCTCCCATTTCCACCCCGTTCTGCTTTATAAAACAATGAGCAATGTGGATGGCCATGCATTTATCTGGATCTACTGGGTTTGCATATGTGACATTAAGGCTTTTTTAATAGGCTATATGTTTCTATTGTCTTATGCTTGGAAGTTTCATGTCATGTTTAACATTGTTTGGTGATTTTAAATGTTATAAACAGCACAAAACATTAGACCTATAACCAGTATTTTTTTTTTTTTTTTAAATCACATTTGCACATCTTTTTATGAGTATCAAAACGATTTTGAAACGAAAAACCAAAAAAAACGAGACCGCAAGTATGCTACATTAAGAGTCTTTTGGAAACGCCAAGATCTTTTAAAAATAAACCTGAAGCTCATTATAGCAGGTTTGGTGTTGATCAGACACACCTCCGTGTCGACCAATCAGAGGAGAGTGAGGTGTTAAAGCAGTGACTCATGTTATTAATGTGAATAATACTGGTGCTTGTCCCATGACTATCAACTTTCACCAGTCATAACAAGAATATGCTTTTAAATGTGCTTGCGTTGTTTTTAAGGAATGTTTTTATAAAAGGATTTAAATCTGCACCTCAACTTTATTAACTTGAATATAACTGCAAGTTCATCTTTATATTTTTAAAACACCTTATCAAACGGATTTATGATTTATGTCATTTAAAATATTAACAAACACTATAATGGTACATCATTGACACTAAAACAGCATGCATCACTGAACTCTGATCAGATCTAATGATGAAACTTAGTTTAATGAGGTGCTGCTGTTTTCCTTCCTGGAGGTATAATGGTAGTCAGGAACTGACTTTTGTTATTTAAAGGTTTTTTTTTTTTTTTTTTTTTACAAAAGGCTAGCATCTAAAAACCTAGGATTGGGCTCTTGGCAACCGACTATCAATGTGCATGTGCGTGTCAATGTTCTGTGGTGGTAAACATGACCAAACCTGTTCATTCTCTAAGGATTACAGCCAAGAACTCTCACCTTCTTGGCATGGAGTTGGTTAACCTAGTTAAAACAAAAGCCTACAGTAAGTGGTGTGATATCAAGAACCTTGCATAAGTAGCTGATGAGAATCTCATGAAACCTGTCAGGAACACATCACAATTTCCCCCCAAAAATCTAATGAAAATATAATAAAATCTTCCCCCCGGTTTCACAGACATGCATGTTTGAACTGAAAGCAACTTGCACTGACAGATCTTAAAATATGTCAGTGGCATTGTCTCACACAATGTTTTATAAGACACGTTTATAAAAGCGAAATGTCATAATATAACTGAGGCCTAATCCTGGCTTAATCTAAACCCTGTCTGTGAAACCAGGCCTACATTTTGCATTAATAAAAAGGGGAATTTCATGAGAATTTAACACGTTTTCTCCCATGGATCTGCTTGTTAACATGCTTTATTAAATCAATTATAGAAGACGGGTGCACAAGCCTCTATATATGCAACTCATTCATACACCTTTACAAACACAGAGCGGGTTAATCCAGATTCACAGAGCAAACACCCTAATGCTTTATGTTTCAAAAGAATATAAAACAAACATACACCGTCAAGCAATGCTTCAACTCTATTCTCAACATGTCAGTTTACATGTGAACTTATGCAAACTGTAACATGAATCAATATCCTTAGGGAATCTAGTAAATTCTTATTTCTGTCCAGGATAAATTTATGCAAACTCCTGGCACATGATTCAATATCCTTAGGGAATCCTTCATACATTCCTAGTTCTGTCCAGGATAAATATTCATATAGATTTTTTAAAATATCTAATTTGTGATTTATCTTTTGCATGCACTGAAACTAAATAATTATAACATCTATAAATTAACAGTTTTTATTTAAGTCAAATATATTATTTGATATTGCTGAATCAACATACACTGTAAAAAATTATATGATCACTAAGATATGACGAATAAGTTTCCTGACTTTAATCCGTTACTTTCAGTTGTTTTCTTTTGAATGTAAGTCAAGTCAGATCTATTTCTATAGCGTGTTAAACAATAAAGATGGCTTCACAGCAGAAAAATAACAGAATCAATGATGCAAAATTAATCAAATATGAGGCTAATTCAAATTCTGCTGTAAGGCATGCAGCTCTAACAAGTCAGTTCAGTAAAAAAAATTTGTTTATTGAATTATGAAAAACGATTACTTTGAATGAACGTACAATTTTTCATTCACTCTCAGAATTAAAAAAAAGAATAATAATTGTACCTTTAAGGGTAACAGCTTGTCACTGGGCCAGTACATTCAGAAAAAAAGGTACAAAAGCTGTGACTGGGGCAGTATCTTTTACACCTTAGTAACTAAAGAGTACATACCCTAAAGGAACATATTAGTACCTAAAAGGAACGAAAGTACCTTATGAAAAGGTACCGCCCCAGTGACATCTTTTGTACTTTTTTTCTGAGAATGTGTAACGGACAACTTTGTACATTAACCCTAAATTCACAGTACCTTAAGGTTCATATTTCAATTCTAAGGTACTAATATGCACCTTTAGGGGTAAAAAAGGTACAAAGATGTCCTTTTAAGGGTAATACAGTGACATTCAGCTGTAACCCTAAAGGTACAGATTTTTTTTGAGTGTGAATTGTAAAATGTTTCTCTGCATCTTCTCATGTAAACTCTACTGTAGTCACTGACAGTTTGGTTGGCATCTCAGAAGATCTTTCTGACTTTCATAGACTTTTGTAGACTTTCTGGTTTGTGAAGTGGAAACGGAGGCTGTAATTATGATTTCTTCAACTGCCTATTTCTGTGGACTTGCCAAGATATTTTGGGCGTTTCTCCATTCAGATTGCATCAGTGTGGGACAATAACATTCCTCTCCCCATGAAAAGCAAAAAAACATCACCATTTTACAGCAAGAGAACTTTTACATTTAAACTCACATGTTTATACATGCAGGGATCAGATTTTTCCTTAACTTTGCAACTACATGCCAACTGTTAGGGTGCGGGTTAGTAGAATAAGTTGACATGTACTTGCAAAGTTACTTATAATGTCTACTATCAAAATAAAGTGTTGTGTTCAGTGCATCAGCCATGCACTCAAATACATGAAACAAACTAACAGAGGAGATTTAAGACAGTTGATCTTAAAAATATAATTATCATTCAACTCTTTTTATGTGAGCGCACAGACTCCAAACGCAGACTTGTTTGTCCACTCTTGGGTGCGGATGAGCAGGTATCTGTGTCACCTGAGGGCGGACCTACACGTATAAATACAGCAGGGAAACGCTATTTCCACATTGAAAGAGCAAGACAAGAAGAGGTAAGACATTCTTCATTTATTCGCTGCAACAGGACTGAGAGATATTTGTCAAATGCATGATTAATGTGACTGTCCTGATGACAGAAACCAAAACAGATTGAATAATTTATTGCATTTAGAAAATGAATTTGCTGATTATAACCTTGTGAAATAATACATGTAATTCAAGCATGCAGTCAAAGGCAAATTCGCTCATGGCTCTTTTTTTTATAGTTCAGTTTTACTGCCGTATTGCATATCAGAAAAAAATCTCAACATGGGCGATAAACGTAAGTGATATTTTATGTAAAAATATTGACATCTTTCTGTTTGTGGCATCGACAGACATTTTATTAAATGTTTAAGATGTTTTACATTTACACTTTTCCAATCCAATTTTCATTAAATGCCATCGGAGAACAATTGTTTATGCTTATTTTTGTTTTCCTATGTCTTCTACAGCACCAAAGAAGGTGAGATATTTATATTTTTAAATGTGGTTAGGAATTCATTGATTAGATAAAAGGTTAATTTTAAAGAATGATACACTGATCATACTGTATATTAACAGGATTGCGCAGATGCAGATTCTCATTGTGAGGTATGAAGGCAATAACTTCAAGCACTTCTACACAAACAGTTAAATAACTTTTCCATTTTATGCTAATCATATGGTCATATTTCCTGTCTCATAGGGCTCAGTAGATGAGGGTGGAAAGGTAAATAAATAAAATGTAATGGTGAAAACAAATGATGCACTTTTAACGTATCCGCAATGACAGACATCTGATTTTATTGATTTGTCTTGTAGGGGAAGCATGGAAAGGGCCAAGACAAAGGGAAAGACAAAGGCCAGCAGGGACAAGGAAAAGGTCATGATCACAGTCATGGAGGTGACCATGGGAAAAAAGGTGAACAAAAAGGAAAAAAGTGAGACTAACTTCAAAGCCTGAAACAACATGACGGTCCATGCAAAAAAACTGGGTTTCAGTTCAACTTTGCATTCAAATAATGAAATTAAAACACCCTTGAACACATTGTCTTTGTTTTTAATAATTGAGCATGACTGTTTTTAAATGGACTGTGAAAATCACATCTGTGTGTAAGCAATAAACACATCAGGATCAGAATCTAAACTCAAAGATTGACATTTATTGTGAAACTGTGCTGTGCAAGAAACGAAATGCCTGAGATGTTGCATAAGTGACGTACAAACAGAGTTTTTATGGCCGTCGGCTGGGATTCCAAACATCAGCTTAAATTCCAGAAAATATTAAGGTTCAATGCAAGATCTTGTCTGTTATGTACTTAATTTGAGGATGACTGTATAACTAACCTGCTGCTACGGCACAACAACCGGATGGAACCAATAACATCGGTGCAGGTTCTGCAAGATTGGATCCCTAAACATTAAACCAAACTCTAAATGTGATTCATGCCATTTTCCAAATGTAGCGGGACGAGGAGAGGGGCGATCACTCCCTCAACCCATGTAGCTGACTACGCCACCCTGTTAAACAGGGAAATATTAATATTACTATTATTTAACCACCTGCGAAAAAGGACACAGGAGCGTGGTTATCGAAGGAGGGTCTGAGACGTGGATACCAAAAGTACAAAGAGTTTTATTTCAATCATCAAGCAGCAATCTAAAAAGACACATTAAACGACTGAAGGACCAGGTTATCACATACATTAAATACTCCAAACACGAGAAGGAAGCCGAGGCTTATCAATGGCAGAAACAACTAGCTTAATGAGCACAAGGCTCCTGTACCACCCTGTGCACCGATCTCACCACGACACACGCACACCAACAAGGTCAAGCACAGCACTCCGTGACAGAATCCCACCACCGCACACGAGGGCCTATGAGTGGCCTGCCCTAAAGCCTCGGCTCCTGTAACAAAAACACAATTAACAGTATAATTTCCAAATAATAAGATAACAATTGACATTTAAATCAAGTTACAAAAGAAAGAAAATACAAAAAAACAGTTATTTACACACTAAAGGTTCATGCATCAAACCACGCTGAGGATAAGAATTTGGGCACCGAAACTGGGTGGATATTCACTCCACTTTCATGCTTCACCAGCAACCCGGCGATCACATAAAAAGATGCTAGAAAGCAGATGTTACGATACACTTAAAACGAGCGCCCACGCCAGTTTGATACATGGGTAGACAAACAAACGAGATAAAGCAATAACACTGAAAAATTAAATAAAATGTGCAAGCAAAATACACAAACCCATGAACCGAGCGCACACACGCTCAGGAGCGAGTTGTCCAAACGAAACCAAGGTAGACAAAGCAGCAGCTTCAACTAGTGTTGCCCCGCAGGCCTCATTGACCGCACTCGTTTCTGCGAACAGATTATTCCTGTCAAGATTCAAACAAAATGACAACAAACATACATAAACGTTGCGCAGTAGCGGTAATTAGGCATACCTTTACTTCATAGCGGGTCGCCAATCGGAGTCACACACACGGACGAAGGTGTCGCCATAACAACGGCACGGGAAGGCAGGAGGGGCATATAAATAGCCACCGCCAACAACCCCCAGCAACGAACCATCTGCCATAGCTATAGACCAAATGACCATTACATAAAGTCACAAATCTATGCGCTAACTAGTTAACCAAACACATACCTCAGGCGGACGAGATGAAAACAAACCGGAATGGGCGGTCCCCGGCAATGACGCACAGGCGGTGACCCACACACCCACAAACGTGCATTCGGTTCCTTTTAAACGCTGCCTCGCAGAATATGATTGGACAGTACATTACCCGCGAGCATTGAATTAAAAATAACGAGACTCTGTACGTCCCACGGCCACTACACAAATAAAAATGGATAAACCAACAAATAATGAATTTTGTAGGTGAGTTCTCCAAAAGTGGGAAATGCTGTGGCAATGTTGACGCTTAGAGGTTTAATAACTGGAGAGCGCTTCATTTAGCATTCCAATTCAGTATGCATGTGCCAGCAGGTCCCCATCACTGGTCCAGAAACTCAATAAGGGCGTATTGGGAAAAAGGTTAAAAATCAACATTCAATTCCATTTGGGGCCGTTAATGGCACAAAAGGTCACTCTACCCACCTTTTAGTAGGAAGAGAACCTAAATCTCCAATTACAAAACAGTGCAAGACCAATTTTTCAGCAGCATTGTTTCCAGAAGTACCAAGCCAACTAGCTATTCAATGAATCTCAAACTTTTATTTGAAGCAAAAAATAAATAAATAAATATATGAAAATTGGACAAGACACAAAAGCCTGGACTTAATAGCTTTGATGGAAATAACTATCCCACAAAGGATTGCAAATGAAAAAAAAGTTGAGTATAGTCACAAAACATGCATACACTTTGAGAGAAGAGGATCAGTCATGTGGATCACGGGGACGTGGCATTCCCTCCAGACCTCTTAGTGCAATTTGCTCACTGAAGTCTCTTAAGAGCACCATGGGTAATGCAGTTTTCCCACCAGTAATTCTGTTAAACATTAATAAAAATAAACTGTGGCAACTTAAAGTTCTTTTCTTTAGTAAGATCCATTACTTTAACAAGTTAAACAATTTCAACTTAAGTTATGAGATTCAACTTAATTTAAATCAGTTTAAAGGGGTCATGAAATGAGAAATCAAAAGAGGTTTAGACATAAGAGGTCATCATTATATAAGAATATCCTGAGAGTTTCAGAACTGAAAACGTCCTTGTTAGTCCAAAATCAGCTTTTATTGTTACCAGGCCCAGCGAATGACTCGTCCTAGAATGTGCTTCTTTATGACGTACTAAGGTAGTGAAAGAAGATGAGAGAAGATGAACTTAGCCCACTGGCGTTAGTGAGATGAGGAAGAGAAGAGCACAGGGTCACTCACTGGACTTAAAACATTACCTTCCAAAGGATCCTAATGCTAGGAATGTGGTTGTTTATTTTCAACATTATTCGTATTCAGTACATTTCACTGGATTCTTTGGTAAATCCGTCCGCAAACTCGGCGCAGGCTTTTACGAAATGGACTCGACAGTATTGCCACAACAGGCCCCATTATGCTGGGTAAAATAAACCCAAAATGTGTTGTCCTATATTTACCCAGCCCCCAGTCTTTTTAGAGTGTATAGGCACCTTTCAAGGCACTCCAGGACACTGTATTTTACCACCTTGCTTTGTACGAAGCATACAAAAACTCAATCGAATCTATTCCAAACGGATACATTATCTGAGCTTTGAAACGGAAAATTTACTCCAGCTTGCATATGACGCAGTAAAGAATTCCATATAGGCGCTGCACAACTAAAAGCCCTACCACCAAATTAACTCAACTTGAAGTTTGGAACTGACAAGTCTGCATTAGATGATCAAGGAACACAGAGCATATAAACGAAGAGCTGCAAGATGAGGTGCCAAATGTCATTAGTGCTTAGTAAAATTGTAATGTACACAGTAACAAACCAGCTTGGTTTTACAAGTTTGACTTGAGGCAGAAACTGAACTGAAGTTGTAATATGGATATATTCCCATGGAGAAAAATGGTTTAAACCTCCAGAACCCAACTGCTGCACTCTATATGGGAGCTGTAGAGGTAGTGACAATATACATTTGCAAATATAGCAAATATACATCACCACATTTTCAATGATTCTCAAACGACTCGTCAGATGAATCAATCCCTCCTTTCCGCGAACTGATTGGCCAGACAGCTCTGTCTGTTGTGATTGGTCTACCGCATACAGCACGCATGTCAAAAACAAAAACGCCCAATGCCATAACAACGTCAGCTGTCCTGAGGCTACACCGTAGACTAAACACAGTAACGAACAATGACGTAGATTTAAACACTGGAAAACTCAAACCTCCATCACAAGGACGATTCGAGCAAGACGTTTCTCAGTGATACACTACTCAGTTGGAGGCACATTATGAGATATTGCAAATGTAATTCCTCACCATCAGCATTAACAAGTGCATGTTCATCAAAAAAACGTATTAGTATTTTTCTAATTTATTGCGGTAAACATTTGGAAACTGGATCAATAACAGTGCATATATTAGCCGAGCTCTAACGACTGATGTAACATAAACGTTGGTAAAACAAATTTTGTTCCATGCTTATTCTTTCCTCAAAGTAGTGAGAATGACAGACAATATGCATTAATAGACACAGTTTTAGGTAATAGTGGCCCACAACTGATTAGCACAAGTATTTTAGTAAGACAATTATAATGTGAGTTAACCAGTTAACAGGAGACCTACACAATATAAAACTCAAAACTAAGTATTTTGAACACCATCATTCAAGAGGAAGCGATTTGCGAATCCTGCAATGAACTTCAAGATTTGAGAAGTCGTCGTCAGTAACATAACGGGAACACAGCAAAAGTTTAGGATTATACTGCTGGTGTCGTGGGAAAGATGTATGTTAACCACTGATTCTTTACATGCTCGTCCTAGGGCAGTGTAAAAAAAAACTGCTTTTACCATCACATTGCAGAGCACAGGGTCTTCTCAACATGATGCTATCCAGTGTCCACAGGAATCAGCTGCCGGTTTGAGGGGGTTCAAGTTTTCCCTGGTGTCTGTGCACGCAATAAGTGGATGGGCAAAATGCAAATTTTTCATCTTGACGTCACAACGAAACGGTTTATGACTAGTTTGAAAACTCGTAAGGCCACTGAGTTTTGGTATTTTTAAGACATGGGACAGTCTTGCACACTTACTTCCTGTCACATGCCCGTTTGGTCAAGCGGCCAAGACATCAAGTGTGAATTTTTCCACAGGCACTTTGTCTCTTATCTGACACATTGAGGGGGCATTTACATGACAATTTTCAAATAAAAACATAAACATTGTTCATTTACATGACAACAGTGTTTTGGGGGCCTAAAAAAAGCTAACTTTTGAAAAATGAATTTCAAAGTGCAAGTTTTTGAAAAGTATACTATTATTGTCTACGTGCATACAACAAAAACGTGAATTTGTGAAAAATGACGTAATGCGCATGCATATTACATGTTCAGTCTTTAGAGTGTTGCAGGCATGACACCAGACCTCAGAAGACCAAATCACCACTGGTTCCTTAAGGATTTTCCTACGATACTTTGACATTCTACAACGTACACTGCACAC